TTTTTTTTCCGAATTTTCGGCGCAACTGGGATCCGGAACGAATTTCTCTGTCCGATGTCCGAAAAAAAGATCAGGACGAAAAGGGATAATCCCGGTTTGATTGATGAGGCTGCTGGTGACGCAAAGACGATTGTCGATGCTTATGGTACCAGCATGGGTGCAAGTGTGGGTGTAGGCATTGGTACAGCTATTGGCGGTCCAATAGGGATGGCTGTTGGCGCGGGTATAGGTTACGAAGTTGGTAAGTTAGTTGATGATGCGGGTGATGACGCGATTAATGAAGCGGATACTGAAGCAAAGTCACTTGTCGATGATGAAGCTCAAACTGTGGAAGGTGAATTTGAATAGGACAATAATCACAATCCATCCGCATTGTAACTTCAGACAATTAGAAATTCATCAAACAAATAAACGAGAACACTGAAAAAAATATAGATACTGTTATGATCCACATAATTTTCTCTCTTCTTCAATTCTTTCGCCTTATAGTTCTTATTATAATTGAACTGCGCATGTAAATTTACGTTCCATGTTTGTTCTCTCTTGTTCAATTCACATCCATGCCTTGTAAAAAAATCTGCAGAATAATCAATTCCAATGGTTGGTGAGAGTGTGGGTGAGCGTGTGGGTATGGGTATGATTGTGGTTACGGGTGTGGGTGAGGATATGGGTTTGGGTATGGGTATTCTTCTCATTCATAAACCATACCCACACCCACCCTCACCCTCAAGATGGTTTGCGATCCGAAGAGTTCAAGAATGAATGAGGTTTTGCTAGGCATGCACCAATTCCAATTCTAGGATTGGAATTGGTTGGAATTGACTCAAAATGAGTAGAAATCGTAGGAACTCTCATGTCATTCGCTAAAACTGATCGAAGCTAAGACTAGATTAGTACAGATCACTATAAATTACTGGAGATTGGTATTATTCAGCCAGTATTTATCAAAATTTTTCTGTAAGTGACTTAGAATAGAAATGAACTTTTGTTATTTCTATTCCAATTTTTATTAATCATAGTGCTTAAGGATTGACACTAGTTATCCAGTTTTGTGTGAGTTCTGATCAATTCTAAGTGAATTATAGAAAAAATTTCACAAATACTGGCCGAAAAATATCAATTTCCAGTAGTTTATAGTGATCTGTACTAATCTAATCTTAGCTTCGATCAGTTTTAGCGCATGACATAAAAGTTCCTACGATTCCTACTCATTTTGACTCAATTCCAATCAATTTCAACCAATTCTATTGTTGGAATTGAACCGAATTGGAATTGGTGCATGCCTAGGTTTTGCCACTAAACATGATTTATGATCAAGTCTGTTATACCTTCAACATAGGTATTTTCACAATTGTATGAAGTTAGCAGACAATAACATATACGAGTGAAAACAGTACAAACTAACCAGACTATTATCTGGGTATGACACACAATGGTCTGTTATATTTCAATTTGAACTTAAATAAAAACAAAAGGCTTTATTTAAAATTGAAATGTGAAGGACAGAGAAACTAGAAAGTCATTGTTCACTCGATAAAGCGTGTTGGTGTGGATGAAGGTTGTCTATTGGTCAAAAACCCACACTTACATTCACTCGATCCCCGTTCTGAGTACGGGTACGCGGAGCACCGCATTCGTTCATGGGAACGGAACGAGAATTTTACACCCCTAACCACACCCAGCCTCCATTTCTGTTCTAGAAGCGGATTTTTTCTCAGTATATTTGTTTCCGCGCGCGCTTCAAACATCATTTTCTTCCATTTGTGCTGCGCGATCGGGAATTTTTTCAGTGTTTTTGTTTTTGTACGCGCTCTTCAGACATCATTTTTTGCCATTTCTGCTCTGTAATTGGGCTTTTTCCCCAGTGCATTTGTTTGTGCGCGCTCTTGTAACATCATATTCTGCCATTTCTGTTCTGTAATTGAGTTTTTTTCAGTATATTTGTTTGTGCACACTCTTGCAACATCATTTTCTTCCATTTCTGCTCTGCAACTGGGTTTCTCCTCAGTGTATTCATTTGGCGCGCTCTTTAGACATCATTTTCTTCCATTTCTGCTCTGCAACTGGGGTCTTTCTCAGTGTATTTGTTTGTGCGCGCTCTTCAGACATCATTTTCTGCCATTTCTGCTCTGTAATTGGGCTTTTTTCCCAGTACATTTGTTTGTGCGCGCTCTTCAAACATAATTTTCTTCCATTTCTGCTCTGCATTTGGATTTTTCTTCAGTGTATTTATTTGTACACGCTCTTTAAAGTCGACGCAGTTCGCACACAACTAGTGTACATTTGCCGCATATATATAAATAGGAGCTCTGAATTTCGTTTGGTCTTCATTGCAACAGAACGGTGAGTATAGTTTAATATGTATTACTCATTCTATTTATTGGACGCATGTTTTTCAGTGAGTTGTTTGTGGAGCTAAGTCTGTAGTACAGGCTACATTTGATAAACAAATCATATCTACTCCACGTAAGTCCAAGATCAGAACTTATTGCGAAAGTAAGTTGTAGTTTGTTTTCGAATAGTGTTGGTGGAGTTGCAGGTATAGATAAGGATGTTTGTCATCGAAGACAATGAGTTGATATAGAACCGCTAAAGCTGTAGTGATAACTGAGCGAGTTTATGTTGAACTATCCGTCAGATGAGAGTTGGTTTGCACAATTTTGTAGCCTGTCGTATATTCACATAGATTCGACTTTGATGATGACTGCTCGTGATTTCACAGATAGGTTTCCATGTCCTTTGTATTATACTGCTATCATTTTTTTATACTGTTATATATATGAAATGCTTTACATAAAAATGTAAATATCCCTTTTCTATATGAGATTTTTTGTTCATATTGGAAAGTGAAGCATTATCACCATGTTCGTTATACACATTCATTTCAAGTAACAAAGGGTGATCTAGTTATACTGACTCGATTTGTATCTTGATGGTGAGTTTACAAATGAAACCTAATAATTAAGAGCATCGTAGGACATGTTTCGTCCTTGCTCAAGGGATTCAACGGGTATGTCTAGAATCATAGTTAAAACTATGTACGAATTAGTAATAAATAATATGACAGCATAAAAAGATATAAACATAAACATTTGAAACTGATTCAAAGTGCATACTTAGATCATAACTAACGGGTGAGTTTACAAATGAAAATAATAATTCAAAGCAGGATTGCCAAATCAAAACTTTAGAAAACAAGAGTTTCAAAAAAAAGTAGGAGTTGTCCTGGAGAATTTTTTTCTTATGTCGATAGGAAAATCAGGAGGGTTTGATGTCAAAATCTCGAAAGTAAAAAAATCTCGAATGGTAAAAATCTCGAAAATTTTGAAAATCGACGTTGAAAGTAGCGCCGTTTTTCGAGATTTTTACCATTCGAGATTTTGACATCAAACCCTGATGTAGACCGGTTTGATCGGTTTTTATCGACATTTAGGATAAGAGCTAAATTAATGCATTTCGGACCGTTTTTTTGCCGGTTTTTCCCGGACTGATAAAGAGTTTCAGCCGACCGTTGACCTACCGATTCGATCCGATCTCGACTGAAAAAGTCAGACCAGTTTCAACTCTGTTCTAGGCATTCCAGCTAAATCTTTTTCCGAAAAAGTTTCTCGGCGAAAAGTCCAAAATCCTTAAAGGTTCATAGAATGGTACCGACGGAAACGGTTCCACATTACAGCAAAACTTTTTAGTATGATGGATATATCAATCTCACGAGTTTTGGATAAGCACTTATCGATTCGGATTCCTTGGTATGAAAAATCTTTGATCCTCTTTTTAAATAAAACGTTATTTTCGAAAAATAGGCTTACCCTGACAAAAAATCAAAGTCCTACATTTTCCATTACTAGATAATTGGTGACGTAATGGTAACTGACCACGTCTATTTTTGACGAATAATCAGTGTTTATTGTTATCATGATTTCAAATCTTCGTGAGTTCCCGAAAATGTTCCGAACGACACATTTCATTCTCAGAGAAATATATTTAAATGAAATATAAAACTCAGAAATTAATTTCGAATTCCGTTGATTATATATATTCCACCAGATGATCTTGCTTAAAACCTATTCCATCAGATCAGCGTGATTAAAATCTATTTCAACGAAAAATAAAGTGGAATTTATTTCGAATTCCATCGATTATTTTGTTTTTGAATAGACCAGTTAGATCTAAATCGATTCTGCAAGAAAATCTATAAAAATCGAATTCCTTTTTTGTCGATTGTTTCTATTTTGATAGGTATCCGATTTTAACCGATTTTGGGAAAAACGTTTTTTTAATCAATTTCTTTCTCATCAGATTTTAAGAACATATCTTGATAAATGTGAACTTAATCGGTTTTCAAAAATAAATCGACTGAAATCAATTTTTCTTAAAAATTTTCGAAACTTTTAGCTTCTCGATGCCATTAAAATCGATTGTATTTTGAATTCGTTATTGCCGATGTCGTCAAAATCACTTGAAAAAATCGCTGAGTGAATCGCAATTTTCCGGCCGATAAAATGTGACATTTATCGCGATAAAATCACTAATATTAGCGATTTTTTGCCAATTTTCTCTAAAAAGTCGTAAGTCATAATGATTTCGATCAAATAAGCATTTGTTAGTGGCGATATAATCGTAGATTTCTTTCCAAATCAAAATTGGAATTTGACCTCTTTAATTGATTTCTGTGGTTTCTTTCAGAAAAATTGATTTATATCGGATCTTTAACGACATTTTTTCACATGAACAATAGAGCATCAACGAAACTATATAGGAATCATCCGTTTTCCATGTGACTTTCGGTCAGCGAGTCAACTTGCGATCTATGTTGCAAAGTAAGCAAAATACATGAACGGAACTATTGCAATGGCCGTGTTTATCAACATTCACTAGCGATGTGGTCTTCAATCAATGAACCATTTCTAAAGTTTTGTTTTCAAGCTAGTCAGACATCTGCGCAGAACTCTTGTTCCAAATGTTACTATCATTCACGCATCATGTGATAATTGTTCAACTAGCATTTCAATCATGGTAATCCAAAGTGAGTTGAATAAGTGACTACAGCAGTGGAAAATGTGGTTATAAATAATCATTTGTCATGTGATCTGAAAACAGCTGACCAGTTCAAAACTTCCTTTTCACTATTCGTAAATATCTGAACCGAATCCTGATTATCATTATCCATTTGCCATGTGATCATACATCGGCTTAACAACTCGACAGATTTTATTTGAAGTAATCACATAAGACAAACAGAATGATTGGTACAATGATCAGAATTATTCATTTCATATGCGATCATTAATCATTCTAGCAAAACGAAAGCTCTGGTTTAAAGTATGTGGAATAGAAGAGCAGTATATCAGACAAAGGGCTATTGTAGTCATCCCTTTACCATTTAATCTTTCATCGGCTTATTGAATACCAACTTTTCTTTCTAAGTGAACAAAATAGGTGAACAGAACTGTTGGAGAATCGTTATTCATGTTCTATGTGATCTTCGATCAGATGATCATTTCGCAATTTTAATTAAAAATGAGATCATATGTGAATAAAACTCAGGTTATGATAATTCTTTTGTCATGTAATATTGATCAGCTTGATCAATACCCAAGGTGTGCTACAAAGTGAACAAAACTGGCAAACAAAACCCTCGTTACGCTTATTCATTTCAGTTGTAATCATTAATCAGAGTATCGCTTCGATAGCTTCATTTCGAACTAAGTAAAATATGTGAATTTTACAATCCTGAGGTTATTCATTTGGCATATGATTTTTAATTACGTTCTCCATTAGGAACATTTGCTTCATAGTAAGCAAAAGTGTCGAACAGAACTTTGGTTATAACTATTCATTTATGTTGTATTCTCTTGATGAAATGAACCATTACAGAGTGTTCTTCACACTAAATCAAATAGGGGAACATATCGCTAACACATGCGATTATCACAACTGAGTTGCTATGTGATCTTTGATTACCTTACCAACTCAAAACCTTTGCTTCGAAGTGAGGAAAAAAGATGAACAGAACGATGATGTGGAGAATTCATTTGCCATGTCATCTTCGGTCAGCTCACCAACTCGAAAGTTGTCCTTAGAAGAAAGAAAAATCCGTGAACAGATCCTTCCTTGTCAGAATTCGTTTCCCATATGATCCTCGATCATCTTACTAACTCGAAACCTTTGTTTCAAAGTGTATAAATTGATCAACAGAAGTCTGCTAACGATAATTCTTTTTCCATATGAGCTTCGATCAGCTTATCAACTCGAAACCCTTATTTCGAAATGAGTAAAATAAGTGAACAGAACCTTTGTTATGAGAACTCATTTGCTGTGTGTCCTTTGATCAGCGTATCCACTGGAAACCATTACTTCAAAGCGAACAATACAGATGAGTAAAACTGTCATACGAGGTATTCATTTCTTATCTGATCTTCGATTAGCTTACCAACGCGAAACCTTTACTCCGTAGTGAGCATAATAGGTGAACAGAAACCTGGTAAGAAGAATTAATTTCTTGTTTGATATTCGACCATCTTATCAACTCAGGATCTTTGCTTCTAAATGAGCAAAATAGGTGAACAAAACCTTCTTGCTGAGAATTCATTTGCCATGTGATTTTCGACCAGTTACCAACTCAAAATCTATGCTTTGACGTGAAGAAAATAGGTAAATGGAATCTTCTTGATTAAAATTCATATTCCATTTGATCTTCGATTATCTAACCAACTCGAAACCCTTGTTTCGAAGTGAGCAAAATAGATGAACAGAAATGTCCTGACGAGGATTGATTTGCTATGTGCCCTTCGATCAACTTATAGACTCGCAACCTTTCCTTTGAAGTGAGCAAAATAGGTGAAGAAAAGCCTTGTAAGAGAATTGATTTGTCACGTGATCTTCATTGAACTTACTAACTCGAAACCCTCGCTTCGAAATGAGTAAAATATGTGACCAGAAGAGTGGTACGCAGAATTCATTTGTCATGTAATATTTGAGCAGCTTATCCAGACGAAACCCATACTTGGAAGTGAGCGATATACGTGGACACAAAAATTTTCAAGAAATTTCATTTACCATGTGTTCTTCGATGAGGTTACGAAACTGGGACCCTTTCCTTCAAAGTGAGCAAAATATGTGAGCAGAAGACTGGTAAAGAGAACTCATTTTTCATGTGGTCTTTGATCAGCTTATCACCTTCAAAGATTGTTTCAAAGTGAGCAAAACATAGGTGAATAGAATCTTTATTATGAGAATTCATTTGTCGCGTAACCTTCGAGCAGCTTACAAGCTCGAAACCTTTGCTTTGAAGTGGGCAAAATAGGTGCACAGAGATGTAATAATGAGAACTGATTTACCATGTGATTTTCGATCAGCTTACCAACTCGAAGCCTTCGCTTTGAAGTGAGCAAAATAGGTGAATAAAATCCTGGTAATGATGATTAATTTGCCATGTGATTTTCAATCGGCTTACCAACTCTTAACTTTTGCTTCGAAGTCAGGAAAATAGGTGAATCGAACATTCTTGAGGAGATTTCAATTGCTATATGATCTTCGATCAGCTTTCCCATCGGAAATCGTTGCTTCAAAGTCAGCAAAATACGTGAACAGCACAGTTATGAAAAATATCGATTTTCTATGTGAACCTCGACCAGATTACCAACAGGAAACCGTTCCTTCGAAATAAGCAAAATACATGAACAGAATAATGATAATGAGAATTAATTTGCCGTGTGACCTTCGATTAGCTTACGAGCTCAAAACCTTTACTTTGAAGTGAGCATAAAAGGTGAAGAGAAGCCTTCTAAAAGAGTTCATTTCGCATGTGATCTTCGATTAGCTTACTAACTCGAAATCTTTGCTTCGAAATAACGAAAATAGGTGAAGAGAAGCTTACGAAGAAAATTGATTTGTCATGTGGTGTTTGATTATGTTATTAACTCGAAACGTTTGCTTCGAAGTCAGCAAAATAAATGAACAGAGCCTTCGTTTCAAGAATTCACTTCCCACGTGATCTTCGATGAAGTTACGAACTCGAAACCTTTCCTTCAAAGTGAGCAAAATAGGTGAACAGAAGTCTGGTAAGAAGAATTTATTTGCCATTTGATCTTCGGCCAGCTTATCAACTCGAAACCTTTGCTTCTAAATGAACAAAATAAGTGAACAGAGCCTTCGTTGTGACAATTCATTTCTCGTGTAATCTTCTAGCAGCTTACAAGCTCGAAACCTTTCCTTTGAAGTGAGCAAAATAGGTGAGCAGAACGATGATGATGAGAGTTTTTTTGCCATGTAATTTTCGATTAGTTTACAAGCTCAAAACCTTTGTTTCGAAGTGATGAAAATAGCTGACTAGAACAATGATGGTTGGAATTCATTTGCTACGTGATTTTTGATCAACTTACCAACCCGAAATCTTTGGTTCGAAGTGAACAGAATAGCTAAACAGGATCCTGGTAAGGATAATTCATCTGCTATGTAACCGTCGATTACCTGATTATCCCAAAACCTTTGCTTTGAAGTGAACAAAACAGGTAAACAGAAGAATGATGATGAGAATAAATTTGTCATGTGATATTAGATCAGTAAAGGAACTCCGAAGTTTTGCTTGGCGGTGAATGGAATAGTTGGAGATGCGTGTAGGTGTAGATGTCAGGAACCGTCGTTTCTTTCGGATCGTATTTCAGAAAAGGCACTGCCACCATCGAACCCATCGTCGTCAATATCGAAACCAGTAGCTACACAAGAGAGCTCTACAACAGCAAGTGTTACGCCCGAGCTACCTGTAGAAATGGTGTCGACAGACGGTTAGTTTGTCATATCTTGTTAAATATGAGAATATCTTGGAGAAATACATTTTCTGTCCAACTCTGTGTTTCACCTATATCAAGTCTTTAAGTTTTAGAAAAGTCACATTCGGATGAAAGTTTCTGACTTTAACCCTTTACCCCTATTGTTCACTCCAATGGACATTGGAAGCATCCGATTGAGAAGCTGTCAGAACATTTTTTGAAGGAAACTTCATGGGCTATAAGTTTATAAAAAATGAGAATGTATTTCAATAGGTTGTTCCAGAGATATACCACTCATAAGATGCACTATTTCAAAAAAAGACGATTGTGCACAAAGAGAAATTTTCTTTTTGTAAGCAAGAAATCCTTTAGCGATCTACTATTTGATACGTACAGACGAAGGTGTTCACTAGCCATATGCTTGATTTCAGAATTTTCAAGGCGGTTTGGGAGAATAAGATATGATCAGGTAAGCAAGGGTCTCTTAAAAACTCGTTCAATGATATTTCACTTGATTTTTTAATACTCACGGATCAGTGCAACGATTTTGTTCATTGTATAGAATCATATAACAAACATTTTCCTATCAAATGAGACGTTTCTGAGGTCTGTACGATGTTCCTTCACTGAGATATATTATTTTTTCTGAAAGCTCCAGAAAACTAGCGAAAATTTCCCCTACACCTCCTCAGAGAACTTCGAAAAATGAAAGAAAGAATTTCATTGTTTTGTTTAAACTTTTAATATATTGGAAGTACTAATACTCTATTTCTGGGATAGTTTAATTACTGATACTGCGAGAACTGCCGTCGGGGTAAAGGGTTAACAAATAGTTCATATCAAAGGTCAGAAGAGGACTACTTTAGGCGTATAATATATTGAATATTTAAATCGATTTAACTCGTATCGAAGCATACGAAAAAATGGACGACTTTTATTGTGAGAAATAAGTAACTAGCAAGGATTCCAAGTCTAATTTATAATTTTCCTATCGATGGATACAAAAAGTTCTATGCTCTATTGGCTACTGTTGAGCTATTATATTCAATGAAATTCTTTATTTAGCAAAACCACGAGACACTGCTCCAAAGAAAAGCTCACCATATTCCCACGAAGTACTTGGTTGCAAGGGACGTGCTTGTGCTAGTTGTGGCCATTGTCGTGATTGGCACTGGCGTCGTAAAGAAAATGGTAAAAAGGATTACGAAAAGCGTACTAATGCTACTTGCACTCGTAGTGATCCTCTTTATTTTCCTGGTGATATTAGTGATCCTTATGGTCGTGGTGATATTAATCCTGGTTATTATCATCGTAGTGATACTCCTGAGCGTACTTCTTATAATCCTAGTGCTTATTCTCGTCCTGGTTATGGTGATTATGGTGACTGTCATGGTGGTGATTCTGGTTATCTTCCTTATTTTGGTCCTTTTCCTGATGGTGGTGATCCTTATGATCGTTTTCATCGTTATAGTGGTTATTTTCCTGATACTCGTCTACCTCGTACATGTGAGTGTTCAGACAATCACAGTGACATGTTACGGGATTAAGTCTCGGTGAAACGGACTCATGGGGTTATAATCATTCATTGTTTAGAAACTTCTTAAAATAAAATCAAAGTTTCAGTAACTGTAGCATCTTTTTCTATTAAAAGATTTACAATATTTAAAGAAATAATTTGTGAAATGTCGATGATAAAAGAGGGTAGTACACTAGATAGGATCATGTTTTGATTTAATATTTATATGAATGAATATATGAATGCTCAAGTTGGTAGAAATGGCACTAATAGAAAATGATTCAGACTCTTAGAATAGTATTGATAATTACCGTATCTCGTGAAAAATGAATATTACCATGACAAGAAATTTTATGAACACAATTGTTATAACGCGCGTGGGTGTGGGTGTGAGGGTGGGTGGTTGAGTGGATGTCTCTTCTTGACCCTCATCCACACCCACACCCACACCCTCAAGATGGGTGCTTTTCTGCTCTTAAGTCTCACAAACCCACAACTACATCCTCACACTCTAACCCACACCACACCCTCACTGACATCTACACCTACACCCACACCCACACCCTCACCCTCACCCACATCCTCACCCATATCCACATCCACACCCACCTGTCAGCTCATATTTCATAAATTCTCATTACATATTCAAAGTCTATCCGGCTGGTAAACGGGGTGATCCAAAAACCATGAATTTTTTCACACTCTAGAAATGTCATAATATGACAGTCCTGGCCACCCAGATCACGAATCCGACATCCGTTTGTCTAGATCTGATCTCTTTCTTGCCGTGTTTACCTTAGGGGGCACCTGGGTCTCAGTAGGATAGTTCTATAAGGTTTCAAACCCAAATACACAAAGTATTTAGAAAATTTTCTTTTCCCTCAGATTTTGTAGAGCTTTCTTCGCTGATCATTTTCGTATCAGGAAGTTTTGAATTCTATTGAAAAATGACGACGCCATTGTCAAAATAAAAAAAACATACTAAAATACGGTAAAATATAGTTTAAATCCCATTTTTCCTTATAAAATATTGGAAATTGCTGGAAAAAAAAGGATCATATCTAGACAAATGGATGTCAGATTCGTGATCTGGGTGACAAGGACTTTCGTATTATGACATTTCTAGAGTGTGAAAAAATTCATCATTTTGGATCATCCCCTTTCTGCCGCAGTACGGGTTGACATCAGTGAAGTACTTATACTTTTGTAATGCAATACCGTAGGAATTCAGCGGCCTGACATTCCAAAGGGGGTTGAATACGCTACCTGTTACGCATGTTAAAAAGTCCAAAAAGTGGTAATTCGTCTTACATCACATTTTCTTGCGTTTTTCGCTATCTACAGAATCTATTTCAACACTATTATAATGGGTGTATCTTTAATTTTTTTGTCTAGAAATGTTCTGAGTCCTTCAAACTTTTCCCTCAGCTCATTTTATCAAAAATCTATTCCAAAAAATGTCACTACATATTTGAAAACGATAGTAGCTTTTCAACAAGACTTACCTTGAAGATAAAGATACTTCACGTCTAAAATGAATGCTGATTTATTATAATGCAGACTCTTTGATTAGTTTTTAATCTTTTTTTCTTCTTCTCTGTTCTTTATCAATTCAAACAAACCTTGACTGCTGATTACGAACTTTGTATATAGTTCTTGAGGGAGCGTTTATGACCACATTTATCTTGCATACACCAGTTAATCATTGTATTTGAATTTATAAGATACTATACTAGGGGTTACAAATGAAAATATGTATGTGAATGTTTCAAATCTTTATTTCAAACAGTAGCAGAACAGAAAAAAAGGGAGAAGATCACCACGACGTTTTTATTCTTTGAAGATAAGAAGAAGCGAGAATGTGGGTGTTGTGCAAAATCGATAGTCACATGTACACTCAAATAAATGATAATATCTCGTCTTTTCACATACAAAAGATCCATGACTAGATTTCGTCAATAAAAAGCATAAAAAAATTAATTTGAAAAGTAGCTGTTGTGAATGCGATTAGTTCGTTGTATTACTCGGCACATCGTTGTATCCCAGCCAAAAGAACTGCTATACAGAATGCATGTCCAAGATCGGTCTTGCTGTTTGCCAATGGTCATGTACGACCTCGCAATGCCTTGGTTAGCATTCTTTGTCGTGCCTGAATTTTTCTGTTTGTTTGTGGAGCTGATGGCGTCATGAGCTTCACTCCGTACTCGAACAGACCTCTTGGAGCATTGAAGATGCGCATCCATGGCAATTTGGTGAATAATCTATCTTGTTGTTCTTTAATCCATTCATCGTCCTCGATAGGTACATATCGTTCTTGTTCTCTTCGCAAGCATTCCCAGCCGTTCGCATTCAAGATAGCATCCTCAACGATGTGGTATTCAAACGATGGCCTGTATTCACCATCGCTTTTCACCTGTGAGGCGGGACAAATTCTCAGTGCAACTCTGACGATGTCGTCCACACTCGTAATGACCGTAAGGTCGTTTTGGCTTACAACAACAGCGTTCTCATGCGCTGCCTCTGCCCGCTGAATTGTTTCCAGTGCTTTGAATGTTGTTATGTCGTGATATTGAACCGTAGCCGTACACGATCCAACGTGATTGCTAGATGCAATGTTTGAGATCCACATACGCCTAGAAGACGGTCGAAGTTTGTTGCACAATTGTTCTACGGACAGCTCGTACTCGTCTGGCGAAAGGTCGTGAGATAGAACATCTGCATATATGTGAGCTTGATTATCACTGATTTCGAGAGTTTGATATCTAATTTTCAGAGTAGACACATTTGGAAATGCAAGTATACGCGTGTAGCGGTTCATGATTGCCGTGATCGAATAAGATTGTGGATGTATGTCGTTAAACACGTACTGTGGAGAGTGAAGGGTAACTTTTTGGGCAGTTTGACTTATGCGTCTGTCTACTGACTCTTCGTCTTGAAAAGAATTCTGAAACAGAGAAAATGACGAAATATAATATCTGGATTCTAGCAGATTTTCTAGTAACTGATATGTCATAAGATCGGGCTCTATATTGAGGATGTGGGTGTGGGTGTTGTTAGATTTTCTATTCTCCTAAAATCACGCCCACACCCACCCATTATTTTGTTATATTTCTCTGGATAAATAAACTACAAACACTTACCTTTATTACCAGTTATTTTTGATTATATTGAATTTAGATAATTTGATTGTTGTCGATAGTGGATATATCTGTGTGTCGCTATTGGTTTGTCGTTTGCTTTCTAGACGATGTTTTTTTTTGAATGGTTCGATCGTAGCTATTAGACTTCTTTTTATATATAATATGCGTTCATCATTTCGTCATTGGGTTTTATCCATCGAAGGTAAACAATGACTAACGATTGTCATTACCCGAGCAGACAAGCACTGAAAAATAAAGCATAAAAACGAGAGTGAGAAAACGGAATGAAAGAAAAAACAGAAGAGAAAGAGAGAGAAAAAATAAAAGAATTGAAAAAAGAACGGAACACAAGAGAACATATACAATCATCTTAACAAAATGTTTCAGGAAAGAATTGGAAAAGTATGATATCATCTTGAGGGTGTGGGTGTGGGTGTTGTTTTTATCCCACACTTACCCTTCACATCGGTGACATTTATTAATATTTTTTAATCTCTCATTTACTTATTCTAGATTTCAATTTAATTAAAGCTTCTGTAAATGTTATGAAATATGTCAAACTAATAAATAGCATGATCTATTTACAGTTATAAACTTTCAGAAATGTATATGAAATATTTATATATAAATAGTTTCAATAATGATATTCTAAAAGAATTATTAAAACAACTAATTGATATAAGATGAACAAATTTAAATTATTTTAATATTGAACAATCTTTGGTAATTCATGTATAATAATTCTTTTTAATTTATCTTGCTTATTTAAGATATATATATAAAACAAATATACTATTACTTCTAGAAGTAGAATATTTTGCTTTTTTTCTTTTGTTTTCAATATTTTTATAACATCTAAACGTTACATGACAATAAAGAAACTGTTTGACGTTTCCTCCAAGGTAGATATTCTGCTTGGTTGGTCAAATGAGTATAAGATACAGAGTATAAAAAAACGTAACAACTTAAATGAGAAAAAAAGAATCTTGAGAAGTAGTTCATTGTGATTATTAGTTAGAAAGTAATGGCAAGAAATGTTAGTTTTAACATATTTCAATTATTTATTATTTTCTCTTCACTAATAATATATCATCTGTGCACTAATAATTTCATTGTGGGAAACGGTCAACTTTTCAATAACTTCGAATATCAATGTTATTCAAGTACCTCATTTATTGATCAGATATTTGTTCAATCAAATATATTGTGTAGTGCTGCATGTACAAAGAATCCAAACTGTCGAACAGCGACTTACAACAAACTAGATCACAGTTGTTTAATGTATACAGAATTCAATACACTTGGTCGACTTATTTCAAATAACAATACGATTACTTTTGGAAGTCAAGGTAGGCATTATCAGCCATCCACAGTTTAAATCATGTTAAACGTTTTTTTTAGTGCCACGCAGTTGTGCAAATTGGATTTTTGAAAATAATACTACTTATCCTAATGGCGATATCGCAGAATTAGATGGATTAACCCTAACTGAATGTCGTCAGTGGTGTAATCTAACAGTTAACTGTGTTGGCATTTCATACGTATTTGGTTACTCTCCTGTCGAGTGTTGGATTAAGGAAACTATCGATTTTGCAGATGTTTCTAATGACCCTGCTAAACTGGTTTATCGTTGCTATTAATCTCTTCAATTTTTCTCTACATAAAACTTTGTTTTAATATATGATTTAATAAAAATAAGATTAATCAATTGCAGTATTGCTGAATGAAAGTTAGTTCTTGTTTTTGGATTTTAACTAAACATTTTTAACTATTTCAACGTATTGGACAAAGTAATACGATGTATTTTGCATTACTTATAAAGAAGAATTGTGTAGGAAGTAATTGCAAGAAGTTATTATATTAAATTCGTTCTGTTTTGTTCAACTTGACAATAAAATGCTATTTGAAAATATCTAAACAATTGTAAATGTAAATATTCGAAATTAGAAAAAAAGAAACAGTATCGAGTATAATGAGTGTTTAATTATAGAGGCTTTTGAAGTTTTTTTAGAATAATTACTAAAGAAAATTATTTTTTCTAATGACAGGAAAACAATTTGCAAAGTCAGATGGAAATGTGTATATCATGCACAGAAATAAGCAGAATATATTTCTATGATTTATGCATCTTACAAATAAACGGCGAATAATTAACTAATGAAAATCATACAAAAGAAAAAAAATTAGTTAACACAACAATTTTGAGGCTCAAATGTAGAATTGACATGAATCATACGTTCAAACCTTTTCACTTATGTAATTTATTGAGAGTATGGACGTCTTCTTGAATCACTCTCACCCATCCTCTTGAGGGTGTGGGTGACTATGACTATATCTGCATCCACCCACCGTCACCCACACCTTCAAGTTTTTATTATTTTGTTGATTTTCGAGGTAAAAAAATGTCTGATTTGGATTGCATTTTTTCTAACCGCTACTTTGTTTTTGACACTAGTCGAAAATGCAAGTTGATTCTTTCTTCCTACTCGTTATATCGCGCTCTATTTGCTTTTTTCATTTCTTCTAAAGAACAAAAAAGAAAGAAAAGAAAAAAATACGTTAGAAAATTCCCGAGACAAAAAGAAAATTTTAATTCCTCTAAGACAAAAAATATAAAAATTATGGTATCTGCTTCATCCAAGGTATGTTGTCGTATCCGGACTTGGGTCTGGGTGAGTATGAAGGTGGGTGTGGGTGGGTTTGAGTGTGGATGCGTGAGTGCATCTCATTTATCTCACCCACTCTCATACCCACCCCACCCACCCACACCCACACCCACACCCACACCCACACCCTATTTTCTATAAAAACTAAATTCTTTCCAATTAAATTTTCTTTCAAATTCCCTTAATTTAATTCATTCATGAAAAATTCTATTCGAATTATTTTATTTATTTTAGTTTTTTCTTAGCTTAACATTAAAACTAATAATTATTTATTCATTAATTTTTATCTATGTTCTTCAAGATTTTTCATAAACTAATGTTTTTTATTTATTTTCAAAAATAAAAATCCAAACTTTATCAAAATAAATTAGAAATATTTTTAATTTCAAAGTTTTTCATATTTTTGGATTCGATGATTTCCAGAATCAGCAACATAAAGATTCTCTTCATTATCAAATGATAAATTATAGGGACTATTCAATCGATTTGATCGAGTTCCATTACCATCTCCACCAACAACAACTTCACCTTCTTCATCTCCTTCACACCAACGCATTACTCGATGATTACCAGTATCTGCCACATAGATTTGACCCAAATGATCAACAATCACTCCATTAGGACAAGACAATTGTTTGAAACTATTTCCTTTACCATTTCCACCAGCAACAGTTCTTCCTTCTTTCGCACCTTTTTTCCATTTCATTACACGATGATTCTCCCAATCTGATATATAAAGAGAATAATCTTCATCAATAAAGATTTTAGTAGGAAAATTGAGTTGATTGAGATGATTTCCTTTACCATTTCCAGCTGCAACTAATTCACCTTTTCCATCTCCTTGTTTCCATCGTCTCACTTCATTATTCTCACGATCAGAAACATAAATAAATCCATTTTTATCGATTGTGATGCCCCCAAAATTAACATTTGAAATAATAATTTGTTGATTTGTTTGATTTTCACCAAAATATCGAATTACTCGTCTGTTTCCCCAATCAGAAATAATTAAAGAATTATTTTTTTTATCAAAAATTATATTTATTGGAGAATCCAATTGATTATTTTGATTTCCTTTTCCATTTCCACCTGCGATGATTTGACCTTCATATGAATTCAATTTCCATTTAATAATACGATGATTATAATAATCAGCAATATAAATTGATTTATCATTATCAATAAACATCCCTGACGGATAATTGAGTTGATTTAATTCCTGTCCATATCCATTTCCTCCAGCAACAGTAATTGCAAATTGTTGAAATTGATTCTTTTTCGTTTGAATTCGTTCTAAAATAAAAGGTTATCTTTTTACTCAAAACCTTTTTCATTATTTTTAAGCTGAAAAAGGACGAAAATAAGAAGGAAAACTTGCGTTTGAATTTGTTTTAATAAAATAAAATTTTCGTTTTGTTAAATTTTATTCTTATTCATGTAAATTAATTTATCAAAATATTTTAAATGAAAAACTTTGTTATTTTTCAAAAAAGTTTTCATTTTAAACATTTATTTTATAATATTCTCAATATCTCAATGGAAAAAATATTTTGAAAACGATGGATGAAATTTCTTTTCAATGTTATAATAAGTGATATAAACAATAGAAAAGAACTAAACTATGAATAATTGTATGAATATTATTTCAAGAAAAATTGTTATTTCTTATGCAAAGAATAATATCTTTTGAAAAATGAATTTAAATTGTTACTTAATTCATAAAAATAATTTATGAATAAGTTCTATCTCAATTTTAAAGATAATAAAGCTATTTTTTATTATGAAACATACGTGGTTTTATTGAAGATTGAGTTGATATTTGATTCTTTGGTATAGTTGCTGTACTAGTTGTAGAATGATTTAATTGAGCAGAATCTTAATAAAAAGAAAATACAATGTTTTTATTTGACAATAATAGAAAAATAAATAAATAATTATTATTTAGATTATAAAAACTATTGTTTAAGTTTTTGGAATAATTTACAATAGGAACAAAGCATAGATTAAATTTGCTCATTTAAAATTTCCCCAATAAAGATATAAGGAGAGAGAATTCGGTCATATTTTATCTTTTGAATACAAATTTCGAAGTTTCCTTTATAAAATTTTTTTTTTTTTTGAGAAAATATTTTTTAACCTATACAATACAAAATGATACTCATTTATGAAATAAAATTTATTTGATTTTCAAAAATAAATTTTTTTTAGGCAAGGTTGTGGGCGTGGGTGCGAGTATTATATCCATCACACACTCCACACCTGTCATTTCAATAAAAATATTTTTTATATATACGTAAAATAGTAAAGTGATATGTGACGTTTGATAATGTCTACTACATAGATTAACTTTTTTTATAATTAATAATTTTAAAGAATTGCTTTCGTATTGGAATAATTTGACAAATTTCAGTATATCCTCAAAATACAGATTCAAATCATTTAGATATGAGGTATTTTTAGACTTCTCTCCATCTTATATTTATTCATTTTCAATATTTAAAACTTTTTTCTCTAAATCCCGTCGATAAAATTAATTTATAATACGAAAAACTTAAAAAAAATACCTCGGTTAAACTTCGTTTTCTCCTGTCTCGAAATGAAATAGTTGAATAAACATACCGAATAATGAAATAACTGAAATTTTCTTGATAAATTCTTGTGAATCTTGTCGAATAGAAATATTTGCTGATTGAAGAAATTCTTTTGTAATTTGTGTTAATTTTAATTGGAAACTATTTAAATCAATTTCATTAAATTCATTCTCTTCACGAATTTCTTTTAATTTCTGAGATAATTCTATAAACTTTTTTTCTACACCATCGATCAACTTTTGTGTCACTTTTATCAGTGTTTTTCGACATTCTTCTGCTGTTTGTTGAATTTGATGAATTGAATTTGTTTCCCATTGATTAATTTGTTGAATTAAAGAAGAATTTGGTGGACTTTGTTTTTGTTGAATAATTGTTTGTTGAAATTGATCATGATCATTGATAATTTCCTCTAATTGTGTCTCGATTTTTTGTCGATGTTCTGTTAAATGTTGAAAACAGAACTCATTTGAACATCCCTTACAATTGTATGTATTTTTTTCTTTGTTACATACAAAACATTGGACTCTACTGTTTGCTGTTGCCATTTGTTGAAGAGTTTAAAAAAGAAATGAATATTTGTTCTTAATCTGTCTGTGTATTTATTTATACAAAACAAAATGAGTCAAGGTAGATAAATATCAGTAGGTAGTAAACGAACGAAGAAAACCTTTTTTCGATAGATAAGAGGTTTTCATCATGAAAATAATTTAATACTCATTGACATTGAATGAAAACTAAGTCTCTTCAAAGAAGATGAATTTCATTAGTCTGTCGTCTTTTATATGAGTTGAGATACAAATAATATTGTAATTTTCATTGAATAATAAAATGAAATTTTGAATAAATATCATTAATCTATTCAATTCTCTTTACTTCACTGAGCAATTTAATACTTTTATACATGATAATCAAGGTTTTTCTTGAACTTCTCTCAAGTATATGTTCATTAAATGTATTTAAATAAACGATTGATCTAAAATCAATCGACTTGAATTTGAGGAAAATAAAATGAAAAGAAAAATTATTTCGAAATCTTGAATTTCTCATTATTAATTGTTTTATCCGAAAGAACAAACATGATGGAATCAGAGAAATATCTTTTTTCATAAAAAAAAATCAGTTTAATACCATTTGAAACTTTTCATCTAACTTCATTACTGATTTTTCTCTTTTAAAAATAAAGACGGATATTAATATCGCTATCAATATTTCGAAATCTTCGTCAACATAGAAATTAATTGTAGAGCATCATCTCAAAAAAACAAAGAGCCATATATGATTGAAATGATTGGGTTGTTATTCAGCCATTTTCTACGATATTTTCAGAAGCATTTAAAGAATTTAGATGTGGTCGCAGCTGTTTGTACTTACATCCTCAGTTTTTAGGAGTTAACACTAATATTTGTTATTCAGAAAATGGTTTTGTGTTCATCTCACAAATCTTTATTCATTAGATGTAGTATGTAAAGATGACAAATATTTTAAGACTTTAATAGTTTCAGAGAATGATCATGAACTTATTCAATGGTTAAAAGATCGCCTACCATCGACAAATTTGATCATACGATATCCTCACATTCTAATTTATAAAAATAAAATGATATTCGATTTGATATGGGTCTAGATGCTATGTTTCTACCTATTTATTCGAAATCCTGCTTAAGAAATGACGATAACTTGTTAGTGAGAAAGATCACAGGTCGTATATTGTGTTTTTATTTATTAGATGAAGTGAAACAAAAAAAACTGTCGATTGATATTTTGTCTAAAAATAGCTCCCTTGCTTTTTTTCAGTTTAATCTCCAACTTATTCCTATTACAGCTGTATTTATTTGTTTGTAAGGGTGTGGATGTGAATATCAATAGTAGACACCTACACCGACACCCGATTTTTCCATTAATTTTCACTAATAAAACTACACTTTTTCTTGTCTTTTTTGAAAATGAAAATTTTATTCACAAAATTATTTGAAATTTTTGAATTCGATGATTCAAACAATCACCAACATAAAGATTTCCTTCATCATCGAAAGATAAACCATGTGGACTAATCAATTGATTTGATTGATTTCCTTGACCATTTCCACCAACAACAATTTCACTTTCTTCTTTTCCTTCACACCAACGCGTTACACGTTGAGTCCAAGAATCTGCCACATAGATTTGACCCAAATCATCACCAGTTATTCCTTGAGGTTGAAGTAACTGATTGAGGTTTCTTCCTTTACCATTTCCTCCAGCCACAATTCTTCCTGGTTTTGCATCTTTTCTCCATTTCATTACACGATGATTGTTTGTATCTAATACATAAACAGATTGTTCTTTATCAACAAAGATACAAGTAGGAGTATTGAATTGATTAAGTTCATTCCCTTTTCCATTTCCACCTGCCACTACAGTTCCTTCGTTGTTATATTCACCCATTTTCCATCGTCGCACCTCATTCTTCTCCCAATCAGGAACATAAAGAAACCCATGTTTATCCATTGCCAAACCAGAGCAGTCAACATTTTCAATAAGAATTTGTCGATTTTGATTCAACCGTTGAATTACTCGTCTGTTCCCAAGATCAGCAATGATAATCGAATGATCTAGTTGATCAACAATCACATCTGTTGGATGATTCAATTGAATGATTTCGCTTCCTCTGCTATTTCCACCTGCAACGATTTGTCCTTCCTTTGCATTACATTTCCATTCAACAATACGATGATTCAACCAGTCAGCAATGAAAATATTTTTCTTTTTATCAATAAAGATTCCAGAATGGCTATCGAGTTGATTTAATCCTTGTCCTTGTCCATTTCCACCAGCCACAGTGATGGCATTTTGTTTCCATTTGTTAAGTTTTGATACTAAAGAATGATGAAAACAAAGATTTTAAACAGAAAGAAGAAAATTTATTTTTGATCAGAGAAAAAGAAAAGATTAATTTCGATTGAAATTTTGATTTTTGTTTTTTCCTGTTCTATTTATTATTCAGTTAGAAATTATTTGGTAAAAACTTACTTTTTGATGGAATAATTGAAATTTCATTACTTAATGACTGTGAATCTTCTTTAATAGAAATCGTCGATAAATTATTTATTTTTTTTGTAATTTCTATTAATTGATTTTCTAAATAATTTAAATTAATTTCATTAAAGTCATTTTCGCTATGAATTTGTTTGATTTGTTCAGATAAATCATAAAATTTCTTTTCAATTTCATCAATAAATTTTTGTGGATATTCAATAACAATTTTTCTACATTCTTGTGCTTTTTGTTGAATTATTTCAATTGAATTTCTTTCCCATTCATCAATTTGTTTTATTAATGAATGGCTCTGTGGATTTTGTTTTTGTTCATTAATTCTTTGTTTAAATTGATCATAGTCATTAATAATATAATTTAATTCTTCATTTAAGTTTTGTTGATGTTCTGTTAAATGTATGAAACAAAATTCTTTTGAACATCCTCTACAAAGATATGTTATTTTTTCTTTATTGCATGTAAAACATAGTGTTTTGTTATTTGCCATTGCCATATCTTTGAATAGAAGTTAATTGAAGAAATGAATATATTTTTATCTGTTTTTATAAATATAAACTTAATTACTGAATGATAATAAAAATATCGCTCGTTAGTAGAAGAAATCGAAAAAGAATTTTGTCGTGAGAACAACTATTAATTATGATAAAATTCCGCTAATGAAACTGATGTAACATCTAAGATGGTCGGACTAAAACTGGAAATTGATTTGTTTCTAATTTCAAATCAAAATTCAAGTCATTTTTATGATATTATTTCAATGAAAGAATGTTTTAATGTAGATAAAGATCAAAGATAGGTTTGCGTGCACATACAACTTTACCCTTCAGATGAATAATATATCAATCTCTCATCCACTCAACTGTATCGTTATGTTTAATTTTATGATCATTATCATCGCTCTAGTTCTCAAAAGAATTATTGTGTGATATTGTATTTTGTTAATTTTCCATATTATTTCGAAAAATTAGACTTACTAAAATGAAACTATTTCAAAGAATTGAATTTCTAAACTTGTGATGTTTTGTGTGTCTCTTTTCAACTATACATTTGATTTGAAAAAGAAATCAGACAAAACATTTCAAGTTAAGAAGAGAAGAAAAAACCACGTTTTATTTTTGATGAAATAGATTTTTAGTGCTCTGTAACGAAACGAAATTGAAAAATGAAAAGTAACATTTTAGAAAGTTGAAAATAAAAATATTGATAAATAGAACTGATTTAAATGAAAAGTAAAGCTATATCGGAGTAAATAAATAAGATTTAATCATCAAAACAAAAGCATTGTAAATAATCGGATATCCAAAAAAGGTTTTTCTATATTTATCAGCATAGATACATAATAGAAGTTTGATCTTCTTTTTGTTAAAAGATTCACTAAGAAAAGTTGCAGAACAATGACGATATGAAGTATCTGCGATGATTGAAATTAATGATCTTTTTCTCCATTAAAACAAAAAAACGTTACATAACAAAATGTATTTAAACGATTATCATATATGTGTATATACATGTCAAATAAGATATTAAATTAATTTTTTTATATTTTGAATTTTTTTTCTGAAAGAATTTTCTTAAAAATCCAATTGAGTTTTTATTTTTATTTTAAAATATCAAGAATTGTTTAATTAATGTCTTATAGATGAAAATATGATCTAATATTGTGTAATATCGAATGAATAGTGTTTTTTAATTAAAATTCAATTTTATCTAGTCAAATAGAAATTCTAGAATTCGTCAATGAGTTTTTCACATATGAAAATTGTTTTTTTTTCTCAAATATAATTTAATAAACTGATTCTTGATTGTATTCTTGCAGATATAATCAATACTCTTTTTCGATAAACTTATTAATTATAAATTTGTTAGATAAGAAAGTAAACATTAATTTATCTCCGCATAGTTCTCATTCGATTTAAAAGAAATAATTGAATTTTTGTTTTTCTTAAATTTTCAAAAAAGAAATTTAATAATTCAATTGAATAAATCTTAAATAATTTATATCTCTTTTCTTTAATATTATTCAAATTATCTTTGTTATTACATAAAAATTGTTTAATTAACTCAATTTAATTATCTTTTACTTTTAAACAATAACATTAAATCATCATCATTCATACAGATTCATCTTTTAGATATTTTTATTCAAATTATCATCAGTTTGTACAATCCTGTAAAATAATAAATAAGATTTTTATCTATTCATGATTTATTATTATCATTAAATTTATAGAGTAATATATGATTTTTAATAAAAATAAAAAAGAAATTATTTTCTTAATCGTTTTATGTTAAGGGTGTGGGTGTGAAGTTGGTATAATATTCAAATGCATAGTCACGTTCACTTACTTACTTACAGCCACATCCTCAAGACTTTCTTAATCTAATTTTTCGGTTTTGACAGATTTCATTCTTATTCATTTATCTTTTTTCTTCTCTCCACCCTTTCTCCCAATAAATCATAAAATCACAAAAATAAATCTAATAAAATTTCCATTTACAAGTTTTTTTTTATTAATTTCAATGTTTTCTCAGTTTGAAAAATATTTTATTTGATTTTCCTATAAAAATTAAATTTTTTTATATTAATTTTCTTTCGAATTCTTTTAATTTAATTTATTCAACAAGAATTCTATTCGAATGATTTTATTCATTCTGATTTTTTCTTAGCTTAGAATTAAAATTAATAATTATTTATTTATTTTATTGAAACAAGTTTTATTTATTGATTTTTATTTATGATCTTCAAGATTTCATAAATCAATGTTTTTTATTTATTTTCAATAATAAAAATCGAAATTTTATCAAATTAAATTGAAAATATTTTTAATTTCAAAGTTTTTCATATTTTTGGACTCGATCATTTCCAAAATCAACAACATAAAGATTTTCTTCATTATCAAATGATAAACCCATGGGAAGATTCAATTGATTTGATTGATTTCCTTGACCATTTCCACCAACAACAATTTCACCCTCTTTATCTCCTTCACACCAACGCATTATTCGATGATTCCCAGTATCTGCCACATAGATTTGACCCAAATGATCAACAATCACTCCTTCAGGACAAGATAATTGTTTGAGACTATTTCCTTGACCATTTCCACCAGCAACAATAATTCCTTCTTTAGCATCTTTTTTCCATTTCATTACACGATGATTCCTTTCATCTGATATATAAAGAGAATAATCATCATCAATAAAGATACAATATGGATAACTGAGTTGATTGAGATGATTTCCTTCACCGTTTCCACCTGCAACTAATTCACCTTTTTTATCTCCTTGTTTCCATCGTCTTACTTCATGATTTCCACGATCAGAAACATAAATAAATCCATTTTTATCCATTGTCAGACCAAAACAATTAGTATGTGAAATAATAATTTGTGGATTTGTCTGATTTTGATCATAATATCGAATTATTCGTCTGTTTCCCCAATCAGAAACAATAAAAGAATTATTTTTTTTATCAAAAATTATATCTTTTGGCCAATACACCTGATTATTTTGATTTCCTTCTCCATTTCCAGCTGCGATGATTTGACCTTCATTTGAATTCAGTTTCCACTTAACAATACGATGATTATAATAATCAGCAATATAAATTGATTTATCATTATCAATAAACATCCCCCAAGGACTAGAGAGTTGATTCAATTTCTGTCCGGGTCCATTTCCTCCAGCAACAGTAATTCCAAATTGTTGAAATGTATTCTTTTTTGTTTGAATTTGTTCTAGAATAAAAGATTTCTTTTTATCCAAAACCTTTTCCATTATTTTTAAATCAAAAAAAGGCGAAAATAAGAAGAAAAACTTGTATTTAAGTTTGTTTTGATAAAATAAATTTTTCATTTTGTTAAATTTAATTTTTAATCGAACAAAATTAATTTCAAAGAATTACTTTAGATTTTTTAATTAAAAATTGTTCATTTGATTTTTATAAAAGTTTAATTCAGAAAACTATTTTTTTGAATGAAAATCATTTTTATTTCAATGATTTAAATAAAATCAATCTAAAACTTTTTTTTATCAATAGACTAAATAGTTCTTTTATTTGAAAATTGTAAACTAAAGAGTTAAACTTAACTTAAATTTATTCAACAAGTTAAAGATAATATAATCCTTTGTTATTAAAATACTAAAAGAGATTCTTCAAACCAAAAAATAAAATAAAAATTCTATTTATTGTGAGAAATTTGTTTAGATTTGAATTTGCTATTAGAACAAATCTTTTAAAAAACAAATAAAGTAATTATTTTATAAAAAATAGTTAATAGAGTAAGTGATTTTTAGAATTATTTACTAAACAGAATTGTTTTAAAATAAATATTTAAACTAAAAAATGAATTGAAAATATTTAATCGAATTATTCTTATTAACATAGATAAATATTTTGAATAAATTCTATGGATGAAATAATATTATTATTTGTATAATAAATTTTATTTTGTTTTTAATAATGAATTAATTAATTAATCAGAATACAATGAAAATATCTTGATGATGAAAATTAAAGTCAATCAAATTAGTTTTAATTTTCAATAAATATATTCAATTTTTAAGAGAACATTATTTTGTTTTTTTAAAAACCTATTCGAATGATTAATTTGATTAGCAATTCTATAAATACTTATTTTAATTAGAAAAGAAAACTTTCGATTTTAAATTTTATTCTTATTCATATAATTTAATTTATGAAAATATTTTAAATGAAAATAAACTTTGTTATTTTTCAAAAGAATTTTTATTCTAAACATCTATTTTATAATATTCTCACCATTTCAATAGGAAAAATAATTCGAAAATAAAGGATGATATCTCTTTTCAGTGTTATATGAAGTGATATACAAATAGAAAAAAACCAAACTATGAATAATTTTATGAATATTGTTTCAAGAGAAATTGTTATTTCTTATCCAAAGAATAATACTATTTGGAAAATGAATTTAAATTGCTCCTTAATTAATAAAAATAATTTATGAAAAGTTTTATCTCAATTTTAAAGATAATAAAATTATTTTTTATTTAATGAAACATACGTGGTTTTATTTGAGATGGAGTTGTTATTTGATTCTTTGGTATAGTTGCTGTACTAGTTGTAGGATGATTTAATTGATAAGAATCTTAATAAAAAGAAAATACAATGATTTTATTTGACAATAATAGAAAAATAAATAATTTATTTTAGTTTAATTTATATAAAAATACTAAACAATATTCATATAATATTTTTATTTTGAAGAAATAAATAAAGAATTATTTAGATTATGAGAACTATTGTTTAAGTTCTTGAAATAATTTAAAATAGGAAGGAATGAAAATTTGATTTTATAATTTTAAATTTTTCGAATGAAGATTAATTATTTATGAGTTATTCTGTTGAATTAGTTTATATTCTTATTGATCTTTAAAACACTTGTTTTATCATTCATCTTAGAAATAAAATTGTCCAAGTATAATCTTTAATTATTTTATTTTCTAATTAAGATTTTCAATCGATCAAATTCAATAATAAAATATCAAATATTTCTTGTTCATCTGATTGTTCTGAGATTAAAATAATAAATTCTACAATAGTATAGTTATTGAATTATTTTATTAACTTTTCCTATGAATACTTTCGTCTAGCAAAATATTTTGATTAGTCAAATAAAACAAATATTTTTGAATTTGAAACAAAAATAAATAAATATGAATTTATAATCAAAACTTAATCTAATCTTAAACTATTTCACTTTATTATTAGATTAGTTTAGAAAAATCTAAAAAATAAATACTATCATAAAAATAATTTTCTCAATATATTAGTTAGATTTTAAAGGACTATTTTTATATTCATTTATCGAAATTCATTTTATTAATTTATTATGTAATAGATATAATAGTTGAACTACTTACTTGGATTTGGTGGCCTTGGCGGTTCTTCTTTTTCATCGTCATTAATTTCTTTTAAATGAATAATATTTAGTCCACCTTTATGATTTAATGGATTAGATACAACTTCAAATACTGTTCCAGGCATTAAAATAACTTCGTTTTCAGTTGGATAACATGTATATGATGAAACTAATTTTCCATTTGAACATTCAATATTAAATAATGTACTTGAAGAAGATTTGCTAATAAATGAAGAAATAACGGCAATGGATTTTGAACATGAAGTTATACTCCACCAAGTAATTCTTTGACCTTCTTTAAAACTGATAGTAACATCTTTATCAATTCCACGAAAAATAGTTCCTTTAAAATTAGGTAATTTTGATGTTGCTGAATCTAAAAGTTTTAAATATCCAAACCATGGACGAACTTTTGAGCGATCTTCTTCACGAAGTGTTTGATTTAAAATTCGATAAACACATGAATCATCAGACATTTCCATTGTATAAATATATATTGCTGCAGATTCATCTTTTGTTAAATTATGATCATTTGGATATGTACAATGTCTTTTTGCTAATTTAACAAAACGATCTATATCTTTTAAAAAATCTTGTAATTCTTTCATAGCTTCTCCAAGAGATAATAATTTATAATTAAGATAACCATAACATGCTGGTAAACGTTTATTTTCCAGCTCAATATCAGTAAAGCGATCTCCTGAACCACTCATTATAGCGAATTGATAATTTGATGGATTGTTTTTATTGAATGATCAACTAAATAATAAACAAGAATGACAAATTTAATTTGAATTTTATCCTATTTACGTACTAAATGAATGATTAAATTATATTTTCATTATCAGATTTAAAAGCATCGATAATTAAAGTTACATTACAATTTTTATATTCTTTCAATTTAATCATATCTGAATGAGATACTAGGCCTAATTAGTCTAACAAATAAATATATTATACTTTTATAGTTGAAAAATCTCGAAGTATATCAGAGTAGTTTCGAATAACTTTAGTATTATAGATAAAATATTATTCAATTTGATTTAACTGACATAATAGTACTAAATAAGTTTTATTTTGATGTTTTAAGTTATGAATGTAGGAGACAAACATTTCTGATCCTAAAATGTAATTATTCTTTCTTACTTTATTAACTTTAACTTGATCTCAATCAGATTTTCGGACAAAGAAATCAATTTAATACTAAACATATGTTAACTTTTATATCAATATCAAAACATGGAATTATCAGTTTCCCGAATCTTTCTCTTATCATAGACTCTGCAAAATGATACAGGACGATTTTGAAGCATTTCTATAAACATTCATTTGTCTATTTAACCTCCTTATATATAAATAATGACAATCTATTGTAATCGGAATGTAATTATTCTAAAATTTTAGGTTCATAATGATACATAGCACGGCATCAATAATTATGAATAAGAAAACATAGACTGTCAAGCACATGTATCAACCTGAATGTTCGCTTAGTGCGCACCGATTATGACTTAAAGAAATAAATAATAATTCTCCAGATCAAAAGATGATAAGATCGATAGTGAAATAAATTTGAACAGATTGGATCTGTGCTTAACATTAATTTTGAGGGTGAGCAAGGGTGAGTCTCAGGATGACTATGAAAATACAGATGACAGTAGACAGCTGGTCATGGGAAGCGAGCCAAACATGTTAGCCAAAGAAATGCGGCTTACTTCATATCAAAAAAAAAATAGCTAATCATATTAAAGTTCTTCCTTTGCCGTCATCCAACCTAATTTTTACCCTTCTTCTATCAACACAATAATCTTTCAAGGTCTACCTGGACACAATACCTGAAATTTTTCTAAGGCGTATTTGACCGTAATACCTAGTTTTCCAAAATCTATCTGGACGTAGTATGTGTAATTTTTTAAGATCTACCTGAATATAGTAGGATAATAAGAAGGAGCGAACACATACGCGAAAAAAAGTGGCTCACCTGACACAGAAAAATAACCCAGCTAATTTCGAGTTCTTAATCTCTTCTAAGTTGAAATAATCTGCATGAAAATCCTAGCTATCGTAACATGATAAATCAAGCAGATTGTGCTTCAAATTGAACTGTTTTCTATCCATCTTTTAATGACAATGTCAAAATGTGTATGACGCAAAGAGTCTACTTAATTTGAAGAATGGGTCGTGTTGTCTATGACACCTCGTTGATATCCCCGTTCTATATCCTTGAGGATTTGACAAAGATCTTGCAAGGATTTCTTGTGTTTTTGGTTGCAGAAAGTGAACAAAGTATGCAGACATTTTCTGCGAACACAACTTACTCTTATACCTACACTCTACCTCCTGACAAAATTGTTTTTTGTTTGTGTTGTTACACTTTTTTCCCAGAAAAAACTTGTTCATCATCATAATTATACTCTCCTAGTTGGAAGAATTTTTTTAGTCATTTCTGCATTCTCCTTTCAAAAAAAAGACTTATTTATTCCCATCCTCACAGACTCTTTCGCGGAAAAGAAACTTGTCTGTCATCATTCCGGTATTCTCATTGGCAGACATATTTTCCTTGCTCTCATTCCTATACTCTCCTTCCTGCAAAAAACTTATTTCTTCTTACTTCAGTCTTTTACGCTAAAAAGCTTGTCTATCATCGTTCTCACATTCTCAAGATTGGAAAGAATATTTTTTGCTCTCATTGTTACATTTTCTTTTTCAGAAAAAATTATTATCACTCTCGGACGAGGAGAAAAAAATTATTTCATAACTTAGTAGTAAACAATAAGTGTGGTATTATGTTTTTGTCTTACGGTGGGTAGAGGTAAAGACCGACGATGAATTCGTGTACTTATCTATTGAGTAGAGTTTTTAACTAGTCTTTATAGTAAGAGTGGGTAAAACAATCTAATGTTCATATACCTTAGCGTCAGTATAAAGGAAATAATTGTACTTCGCCACATCAATTACCTTGCGGAGTTTACAATTTAGCGCAAGAAAGAGTGCGAAGACAAAAATTTCTTGACTACATCTCGTAACTTAACGGTGAAAGGAATAATTTCATAATCATAACAAATAACCACAACTAAAACTTTGCAAATGTGATTAATATAAAAGTCAAAAAGTTAGATAATCGAATACTTCGACGGTTAAAGCATCCGTTGAGTGAAACGGTAACAGAAAGGTTGAACAGGTAAATACTTGAACACTTCGTTAAATACGTGAAAAGTGAAATACTCGAACAGTTGAATCAGGGAATAATTGAGTGGCATGTAGCCGCTTTTAGCCATTATACTATACGCAAAGTATTCTTTCATCTTTCTCTGGTGCTCATTATTTTTCTCACTCAATAAATCTTAACTATATCTGTCATGAACTAAAGACTTATTCTTTGAAACATTTTCGGTATGGTATTTATTCAACGAAATCAAGAACTAACTTAATAGAAAATTTAATAGAACTTTATCGCACTAACTAGGGTGTGGGTGTCTTAGTAAGAATAAGAAGAACACCTATCCACACCCACACCCTAACACTTTTGTATATACTAGGAAAAGTGGCGAGGGAGTCGGATACGGAATATGCTTAAAATTTAAATATTTTGCAGCGGGGCCGTATGAGAGGGGTTTTACAGTGGTAACTGTGTGAGAGAGAGTCTGCAGCGGGTACCCTCGCTAGTTCAGTATAAGTGTTGATTTGATTTAAAAAACTTAAAAAATAAAATCTCTTTTAACTTTTTTTTGTTCCAAGTTAAAGTTTTCTCTACAAATATTTTCAGTTTTTGATATGATATTTGAGAAAAACTCGATGCTGAAATTTTCATCTGAGAGTTTATTCATTGATAAATCTATTCAATAATAAAACATCTTGAAATATTCAGGTCAAAACAAGATTTTCTTTTTTAGATATTCAAGTCTTGAGAAGAATTTATACAAAACAAAGAACATGGCAAATATTTCAAGAACGAAACATATCTTAGAATTCATAATTTCAGAACATTTTACTATAATGAATAAATTAAAATATAATCATTCTATATTTTTGCTAAACAATATATTAGAGAATAAAATCTGAAAAGTTCAATCTTTCGAGATTATTTCTATTCAATATACAAAATTCGAACTTAAAAGTAATTGAAAATATTCTTTTCTAAATTATTAGATGTAATATTTATCTTCTAAGACATATTATTCATATTAATTCATTTTCAATATAAATAGAAAAACAAAAGATCATATTTACGAACAATATCAAAAGCTTTTTTTACCTATGAATAAATTTTATTTTCTATTATTCTTATTGATTTCATTTAGAAATAAACCAATAATATTCTCAATTGTTTCATCTTCTTCATCATTATTTTTCTTTGTTTCTTATGGTTTTTCAACATAATTTTATAGAAAATGAGAATTATTCTTGTAGAAATAATTTCTTAAAAACTTACTTTTTGATGAAATAATTGAAATTTCATTAATAAATGATTGTGAATCTTGTTCAACAGAAATATTTGACGGATTATTTAATTCTTCTGTTATTTCTATTAACTGATTTCTTAAATGATTTAAATTAATTTCATTAAAGTCAGTTTCTTGGTGAAGTTGTTGTATTTGTTTATTTAAGTCATTAAATCTCCTTTCAATATCATTAATAAGTGTTTGTAATAATGATTCAATAATGATTTCTCTACAATCTTTTGCTTTTTTTTTGAATTTTGTCAACGGATTCTATTTCCCATTGGTTGATTTGATCTATTCATGAATGATTCTGTGGATTTTGTTTTTGTTCATTAATTGTTTCTTTAAATTTATTATAATCATCAATAATATGATTTAATTCTTCATTTAATCTTTGATAATGTTCTGGTAAATGTATTAAACAAAATCTGTTTAAACATCCTTCGCAAGGAAATGTTATTTTATCTTTATTACATGTAAAACATCGCTCGTTAGTTAAACAAAGCGAAAAAGAATTTTGTCGTGACAATAATTACTAATTATGATAAAATACCACTAATAACACTGATGTAACATCTAAGATGGTCGGACTAAAACTGGAAATTGATTTGTTTCTAATTTCATATCAAAATTCAAGTCATTTTTATGATACTATTTCAATGAAAAAATGTTCTCAATGTAGATTTGAATGTAGATAAAGATCAAAGATACATTTGCACCTACAACTTTACCCTTCAGATGAGTAATATATCAATCTCTCATCCACTTAACTGTGTCGTTATGTTTAATTGTATGATCATTATCATCGCTCTAGTTCTCAAAAGAATTATTGTGTGATATTGTATTTTGTTAATTTTTCATATTATTTTAGAAAGCAGACTTACTTAAATGAAACTATTTTAAAAAATTGAATTTCTAAACATGTGATGTTTTGTGTGTCTCTTTTCAACTATACATTTGATTGGAAAAAGAAATTAAGCGAAACATTTCAGATTAAGAAGAGATGAAAAAACACGTTTTATTTTTGATGAAATATATTTGTAGTGCCCTGTAACGAAACGAGATTGAAAAATGAAAAGTAAATAAGATGAAGAAAAGTAACATTTTAGAAAGTTGAAAATAAAAACATTGATAAATAGAACTGATTTAGATGAAAAGTAGAGCTATATCGGAGTAAATAAATAAGATTTAATCATCAAAACAAAAGCATTGTAAATAATCGGATATCCGAAAAAGGTTTTTCTATATTTCTCAGCATAGGTACATAATGGAAGTTTGATCTTCTTTTTGTTAAAAGATTCACTAAGAAAAGTTGCAGAACAATGACAATAGGAAGTATCTACGATGATTGGAATTAATGATCTTTTTCTCAATTCAAACAAAAAAACGTTACATAATAAAATGTATTTAAACAATTATCATATATCTATATATATGTCAAATAAGATATTAAATTAACTTTTTATATTTTGAATTTTGTTTCTGTAAGAATTTTCTTAAAATCTAATTGAGTTTTTATTTTTATTTTAAAATATCAAGAATTGTTTAATTAATGTCTTATAGATGAGTTTTTCACATATGAAAATTGTTTTTTTTTTCTCAAATATAATTTAATAAATTGATTCTTGATTGTATTCTTTCAGATATAATCAATACTCTTTTCTCGATAAACTTATCAATTATAAATTTATTAGATAAGAAAATAAACATTAATTTATCTCCGCATAGTTCTCATTCGATTTAAAAGAAATAATTGAATTTTTGTTTTTCTTATATTTTCAAAAAAGAAATCTAATAATTCAATTGAATAAATCTTAAATAATTTATATCTCTTTTCTTTAATATTATTCAAATTATCTTTGTTATTACATAACAATTGTTTTATTAATTCAATTTAATTATCTTTTATTTTTAAACAATATAACATTAAATCATCATCATTCATACAGATTCATCTTTTAGATATTTTTATTCAAATTATCATCAATTTGTACAATCCTATAAAATAATAAATAAGATTTTTATCTATTCATGATTTATTATTATCATTAAATTTATAGAGTAATATATGATTTTTGATAAAAATAAAAAAGAAACTCTTTTCTTAATCGTTTTATATTATGGGTGTGGGTACGAAGTTGGTATAATATTCAAACGCACAGTCACATTCACTTACCCACTCATAGCCACACCCTCAAGACTGTCTTAATCTCATTTTCCCGTTTTGACAGATTTCATACTTATTCATTTAGCTTTTTTCTTCTCTCCTCCCTTTCTCTCAAAAAATCATAAAATCACAAAACTAAATCTAATAAAACTTCTATTTACAAGTTTTTTTCTTAATTTAAATGTCTTTCTCAAATTAAAAAATATTTTTTTTTATTTTCTATAACAACTAGATTTCTTTGTAATTCAATTCTTTTTTAAATTCTTTTTGATTTAATTTATTCAACAAAAACTTTATTCAAATAATTTTATTCATTTTGGTTTTTTCTTAGCTTAAAACTAAAATTAATAATTATTTATTTATTTATTTTTTAGAATTTAAAAAAAAATATTTATTTTATTGAAAGAAGTTTTATTTATTGATTTTTATTTATGTTCTTCAAGATTTTTCATAAACTAATGTTCTTTATTTATTTTCAAAAATAAAAATCCAAACTTTATCAAAATAAATTAGAAATATTTTTAATTTCAAAGTTTTCCATATTTTTGGATTCGATGATTTCTAGAATCAACAACATAAAGATTTTCTTCATTATCAAATGATAATCCCATGGGACCATTCAATTGGTTTGATTGATTTCCTTCACCATTTCCACCAACAACTATTTCACCTTCTGCATCTCCTTCACACCAACGCATTACTCGATGATTCCAATAATCTGCCACATAGATTTTACCCAAACGATCAACAATCACTCCTTCAACATTAGACAATTGTTTGAGACTATTTCCTCTACTATTTCCACCAGCAACAATAATTCCTTCTTTTGCATCTTTTTTCCATTTCATTACGCGATGATTCGAAGAATCTGATATATAAAGAGAATAATCTTCAGCAATAAACATAAAAGTAGGGCAACTGAGTTGATTAAGATGATTTCCTTTACCATTTCCACCAGCAACTAATTCACCTTTTTCATCTCCTTGTTTCCATCGTCTTACTTCATGATTCCAACCATCAGAAACATAAATAGATCCATTTTTATCGATTGCCAGACCCCAACAATCAATATTTGAAATAATTATTTGTTGACTTGTTTGATTTTGATCAAAATATCGAATTACTTGATTGTTTCCTGGATCAGAAATAATCAAAGAATTATTTGTTTTATCAAAAACTATATCTCTTGGACAACACAATTGATTATTTTGATTTCTTTGCCCATTTCCACCTGCAATGATTTGGCCAGTATTTGAATTCAATTTCCATTTAATAATACGATTATTCTGGTAATCAGCAATATAAATTGATTTATCATTATCAATAAACATCCCCGAAGGCCAATAGAGTTGATTTAATTTCTGTCCTTCTTCATTTCCTCCAGCAACAGTAATTCCAGATTGTTGAAATTTATACTTTTTTGTTTGAATTTGTTCTAAAATAAAAGATCTTCTTTGTGTTAAGACGTTTTCGATTATTGTTAAATGAAAAAAGGACGAAGATAAGAACAAAACTTATATTTGAATTTGTTTTAATAAAATAAAATTTTCATTTTGTGAAATTTAATTCTTAATGAACAAAACTAATTTCAAATAGGTTCTTCATTCAGTTGAGATTTTTTAATTAAAAATTCTTCATTTGATTTTCATAAAAGTTCAGTTTAGGAAAATCTTTTTTTAAATGAAAATCATTTTTATGTCAATGACCTAGATAAAATTCATTAAAAACTTCTTTGTCGTCAATAAATTAAATAACTCTCTTATTTGAAAATTCAAAACTAAAAAGTTAAACTTAACTTAAATTTCTTGAACAATTTAAAAACGACATAACCTTTTCATTAAAATATTAAGAATGATGTTTCAAATGAAAAAAAAAATCTAAAAATTCTATTTATTCTCCGAAATTTGCTTAGATTTGAATTTTGTATCTGAATAAATCTTTTAAAAAACAAATAAAGTAATTATTTTATAAAAAATAGTTAATAGAGTAAGTGATTTTTAGAATTATTTATTAAACAGAATTGTTTTAAAATAAATATTTAAACTAGAAAATGAATTGAAAATATTTATTCGAATTATTCTTATTAACATAGATAAATATTTTGAATAAATTCTATAGATGAAATAATGATATTATTTGTAAAATAAAGTTTATTTTATTTTTAATAATTAATGAATTAATTAATCAGAATACCATGAAAATATTTTTATGATGAAAAACAAAGTCAATGAAATTAATTTTAATTTAGAATAAATCTATTCAATTCTTAAGAGAACATTATTTTGTTTTTTTAAAAACTATTCGAATGATTAATTTGGTTAGCAATTCTATAAATGCTTATTTTAATTAGAAAAGAAAACTTTCGATCTTAAATTTACTTCTTATTCATATAAATTGATTTATAAAAAATATCTTAAATGAAAATAAACTTTGTTACTTTTTAAAAGAATTTTCATTTTAAACATTCATTCAATAATATTCTCACTATTTCAATCGAAAAAATATTTTGAAAACGATGGATGAAATTTCTTTTCAGTGTTACATTAAGTGATATATAAATAGAGAAGAAGCAAACTATGAATAATTGTATGAATATTGTTTCAAGAGAAATTGTTATTTCTTATCAAAAGAATAATACTATTTGAAAAATGAATTTAAATTGTTACTTAATTAATAAAAATAATTTATGAATAAGTTCTATCTCGATTTTAAAGAAAATAAAAGTATTTTTTATTATGAAACATACGTAGTTTTTTTGAAGATTGAGTTGATATTTGATTCTTTGGTATAGTTGCTGTACTAGTTGTAGGATGATTAGATTGATAAGAATCTTAATAGAAAGAAAATACAATGATTTTATTTGATAATAATAGAAAAATAAACAATTTATTTTAATGTTATTTATATAAAAATGCTAAAGAATATGAATAGAATATTTTTTTTTGAAAAAATAAATAAAGAATTATTTAGATTATGAGAACTATTATTTAAGTTCTTGAAATAATTTAAAATCGGAAGAAATGAGAATTTTATTTTCTAATTAAGATTTTCAATCGATCAAATTCAATAATAAAATATCAAATATTTCTTATTCATCTCATTATTTTGAGATTAATATAATAAATTCTATAATGGTATATTGAATTATCTTATTAACTTTTTCTATGAATATTTTCGTCTAGCAAAATATTTTGATTAGTCAAATAGAACAAATGTTTTTGAATTTGAAACAAAAATAAAGAAATATGAATTTATAATCAAAAATTAATCTAACCCTAACTCATTTCAATTTATAATTCGATTAGTTTAGAAAAATCGAAGAAATAAAATATTATTTTCATAAAAATGTTTTCTATCAATTATTAATTAGACTTTAAGCAATTATTCTCTTATTCATTGATTTATCGAAATTCATTTTATTGATTTGTTATTTAATAGATATAATAGTTGAAATACTTACTTGGCTTTGATGGTCTAGGTGATTCTCCTTCTTCTTCTTCATCATCATCATCACTAATTTCTTTTAAATGAATAATGTTTAATCCACCATGATGACTTAATGGATTAGATACAACTTCAAATACTGTTCCAGGCATTAAAATAACTTCATTTTCATTTGAATAACATGTATATGATGAAATGAGTTTTCCATTTAAACACTCGATATTAAATAACGTACTTGAAGAAGATTTATGAAGAAATGTAGAAATAACATCAACAGATGTTGTACATGAACTTATACTCCACCAAGTAATTTTTTGACCTTTTTTAAAACTCTTAGTAACATCTTTATCAATACCACGCCACACAATTCCTTTAAATCTCGGTAATTTTGACGTTGCAGAATGTAATAGTTTTAAATATCCAAACCATGGACGAACTTTTGATCGATCTTCTGCACGAAGTGTTTGATTTAAAATTCGATAAACACATGAATCATCGGACATTTCCATTGTATAAATATAAATTGCAGCAGATTCATCTTTTGTTAAATTATGATCATTTGGATATGTGCAATGTTTTTTAGCTTCTTTAACAAAATAATTTATTTCTTCTAAAAGACCTTGTAATTCTTTCATAGCATCTTGAAGAGATAATAATTTCCAAGTAATGTAACCACAACATGCTGGTAAGCGTTTATTTTCTAGTTCGATATCTGTAAAACGATCTCCTGAATGGCTCATTATAATTAATTGATTATTCAAATTGTTTTTTATTATTGAATGATGAACTAAATAATAAAAAATAAAAAAGGAAATCTTTATTTGATTTGTATTTTAATTATTAAATTTGAAAAAATTGACGATCAAAGTTACTTTACTACAATTTTTAAATTGTTTCATTTTAATCATATTTAAATGCGATCGATGAATGTGTGAGAGTGAGGTTAAGTCTATACGGACGACCATGACAATGAAGATGACAGTGAGTAGCTTGGTGTAGATGCCCAAGGGCGAATATTGATATGGATATTATAGTCATTTCTCAATAATTTTATTCTTATGACATCCTCACATCGTACACTTTAACTGATAAACCACATCATCATCTCTTTCTGCATTTTCATATATACTCTCATCTGCACTAATATCTAAACTCATGAACTTCACATTTCCTTTTTTGCAAACTCCAAAATGAATAAAACAAGTTGCAAAAACGAACATGTCTGTGGCATCTACAACCATCGAAAACTCATAACACTGGTCTGGGAATCTAACTAAAATTTAACCTTATGAAAACTTTTGTGGTTAAAATGAGCAGCAGTTCGTAAAAGGATATCCATTTAAACTCTACTTCACACACACATTGATCTCGAAAAGGAATAAAAACGCTGTAAAAGAAGATAGGTTGAGTAATACTTACTGATTTTGGTTATTTATAAATCACTTGCTATTTTGTCTTTTTAGACGTGTATGTTGATAATAGTTTTTTTCGTCAGAATGAATAAAAGTATGCACATCATACAGAACTTACCTTTTATATATGAAGGTAAATAAATTCTTTTATCTTAGTTTTTAAAAGAATGATAAACAAAGTTATACATCCACGTTGGTAAGAAGTATTTCTTTTTCTTTTATTGACGATGATATTATTTGTCTTCATAGAGTTTCTTCTCTGCTTACAAACGATAATAACAAAAATCTTGAGGAGTGTGAGTATAGATGTAGATGTGGGTATTATATTCAACTTTTTCGCACAGTCGCACATACACACTAGTGTAACCGAGGAGAGGAAAATGAACAGTTAAATATTTCATCTGAAGCTTTACTTATTTAAATTTTACTTTTTCAAAATTGTTTATATATTTTCGAATAAGCTAGTAACTGAATGTTATTCTTCCGTATGAATCGTATGCTCTTTCTGCTTGTTCTTCTTATGAAGAATTAAGACGAGAAGAATAAAAGGAACGCTTCTTATATTTTACCTTTAAGGTTAGATGAACATGCGTATGATGTTATTAGGAAAACATTAGTGAAATGAGGGACTTAGATTTATGTAGATACTTGTTCCAAAGTAGAGCTCAACGAGTTCTATCTAATTTAATGCTTAATTTTCCTATATCTTAAAGTAAGATTAATGATACCAGTGAGAATGTAAACAGTTTAAGCATACTCTCAGATAGAATTGATTGATTTCTGTCTGGAATAGGAATATAACTCTTCAACCAACTTTACCTGTGTAAAAGCAAAAATAAAATTATATATGAAAGAAACATGAACTTTCGATTTTCATTTTGACGATTTTTCTCAAATATATATATTCCATGCACTTCTATTTTCTTTCATATTTTAGGAATAAATTAAAATTAATCTATTATAAAAATACTAACTGAAAAATATGTAACGAAGTAATCTATGTGGGTCAGTAGAATGCACATGAATTAGATAAAACTACTCACAAGACAATCAATATGATACAACAAGTACCATGATTACATGAAGAAATATTTTTAGTTATGATTTGGTTACTATATAAAATACTAATTTTGTTTAAATTAGAATTAAGACATCAATAAATATATGCTGAAATTGATGACTGAAACATATAAAATTAATATTGAACTATGTGTGTTAAGTGTATCTATATATTAATTTCTATATAATCAAGCAAATACACTTCTATCTTATTTTGTTATTAACCATAACCATATCTTCACTATCCGAATATAATACACAAACAATCCAAGATTGGCATTAACTAATAAAGTCATTTTTTATTACAGATGATCGAATTGGTTCTGTTATTTATCAAACATATATCTTACATGATGTGAAAGTGATTGTAAGTAATATAAATAAAATAGATACAGACGGAGTCATAGAAAAAGTTCAAGAAAATAAAGATAAAGGAACAGATTGAATAAGGAGATTAGAACTCGATATAACGAATGAAAAAGCAATATTGAAATAGTAATTAATAAACATGATTTTATTAATGTTCTTATTAAATAAACAACAAAATTTCATATTAGACTTAGTTTGATATCATATTCGATATAATTCAGTTTCAATGGTATTTAAAATTAATTTGAATTCTTATAATGAGTAAATCAGTTATTACTACAACAACTTCATCTACTTTATCAATTGAAGAATTTTCTAAAAATATAATCAAAGATCAATGCTAATAAATATAAAATCTTGTGTCAGATGTCTGTCTATTTATTTTAAATTAAATTCGAGAATGAATTTGTAAATGATGTAAAATACAATGATGCAATAATTTCCTTTCTTTTTACAGAAACTAATGAGAATGAAAATATGATAATCCTACAATTGTATTGAATTAAAAAGATTTTTTCGATTCAGAGTAAAAAAACTCGAATGATAAAGTTTTCTTCTGTCGTTATAGTATGAATGTGTACTCTAGTCACTTGGAAAATTCCTATTCCTATCAAGAATACGTACTCAACATTGTCGATGTACTGATATTTTAATATAAAGTCAACATTAGCAAAAAAACTATAAGTAAATTAATCAGATATTTTAGTATTGAAAAGTATTTAAATCAAGCTCAATATTCTATAAATATTTAGAAATCTTATTTTTTATCAACAAGATTTCCATTGATAAAGATCGAGAGTTCGGTCTAAAGTGTAGAAAAAGAACAGTTCTTGACATTTTTCTTATCGATATATCTTTGCAGTTATTTTAAAGAGTATTTATTGTGTGAAAATGAATGTTCTAATCCAAAGATGAGATAATCAAGTCAATATTAAAAAGAAATAACATTGAATTTATTGTTATTTTCAATTAAATTAAACAAAAATTTTAAGATTTCGAATAAATAAAATATATTTTATTAAAGACAAATTGTTTAAGATGTTTTATAAGTGAATAAACTGAGTAAAATGATGATATAGTAAGAAAGAAGAACTACATAGATGTTTCTTTTATATCAAATATTTAATATTTTCAAAATATTATTTTTAAGTTGATACATAATGTTGAGAAAAATTCGATTGTATATTATGATCAATATCATATAGAAGTTTTTGATGTTAATAACTTTGAAATTTTATCAAATAATATTTTATGACGTATTCAGATTGTTTTGTCAGTTCTTTTCTTTGTTGTTTATGTAGTTTAAGAATAATAATTTGATTTGTTTTCTAATAGTTTAGAATTAAAATCAATATTTAAATAACCAACTTTATTATTTCTCTCATGAATATATGATAGATTAAGAAGTTTGATGAAACTTCTCTATTATTTAATGTCTCTTATAATAATTATATTCTACAGACTTGAACAGTTTCATATCTCATCAAAGTTTCTAACATTATTATTGTTTAAAGACTAATAAAATGTAAAATCCTCAAATTCTCCTTGAAAAGAAAATGTTATATTTAATATTGTACGATATTTAGATAAAAGTTAATTAGGATTCTTTAGAAATAGATCAAATAATATATATAACTCTATTTCAATTTTGTTACACTATATACTTATATTTATCTTGTGATGTACGAAGTTTGTGCCAAACATATGAAATCATCGAATTTTAATGTAATTCCAAATATGAATAAGTAGACTGTGTCGTTTTTAAAAAGTATAATTGTCTTTCTTACCTGATGTATTCTTCAATATATAATGCCATTGTCAAATATACCTCTTATCACTTTTCATATGTAATATATGCAGATAGAATAATGAAAAAACCATAAAAATAGTTCTGTTCTATTTTATTCAAATGCTATGGAACGAAAAAAATACTGAATGACATATATTAATATGAAAGATAGAAGTGTTGGAAAAACAAACATTCTGTCATCAATAGTTTATATTAGGAAAGTTTTAACATAAATTTTATATAGAAAGACAAGTTTTCATATTTTACATTCAATGAAATATGATAGATTCCATTTTCATTAGAAAATAAGATTAGTTAATATTTTTGCTGAACATAGTCAGATGAATATACAATAGATATACATTAAACATGAACACTTTAATGAGAATGTGAGATCAATATAATATATATACCCACACCTATACCTTTTAATACTTTTTTGTATTTGAAAAATATTTTACGCGTTTTGATTTTTTAATTTCAAATTTTCTTATACTTTTCGATTCGATGATTATTACGATCAACAACATAAAGAATTTCTTCTGTATCATATGATAAACATGTGGGACAACTCAATTGATTTGATTACTTCCTTTGACTATTTCCACCCACAACAACTTCACCTTAAATCAAAAATAAACAGAAATATCTTCATTTCATCGTTTGTCTTTATGGAAAATTAATCAAATAATTTTATATAAATGAATAAATTAAGAATATAGGTGAGAATGTTTATTGTTTCATTATATTGTTCTTTTATAATCTGTTATTCTTAGTAAATCTACAATAGTTTCATCTTAAAAATATTATTAATGGATTTATATAAATCTCATAATACAAATAAGGATTTCTTTAATATCGTTTAATTTTCATTTTCACTAGAAAACTAAGAAGAATTTAAATCGAATGAAAAAATGATGTTATCCATCATTTTAAAAACAAAATTGGAGAAAATATCCCACAAGTTTGTTACATATGGATGAAAATGTGAGAGAAAGAATATTTAAATGACTATACTCACAATTTGTATAGGAACTACACAGATATTCATATATAAATCATTATAAATAATAAATCAATGAATAGAATAGACAAAAATACAAAATTAGAGATTTTACTAATTTTTATTATAAGTTTAGATGGAATGGGGAAAATAGATTTATTTTCTCAATTCAAACAGAAGATTTCAATCTATAAAGAAAATCTAAAATAATCAATGAGAAGATTAGAAATTTGTTTGTTTTTTTCTTAAATGAGTTGGATTTAATAATTCGTTCATATTTTTAGATAAGATAAGAAAAAGGAAAATCTTTTATGAGTTTCTTTCAATTAAAATGTTGAATAATCTTTACAATTAAGAATACTCGATATATATAGATGATGTTTATATTCTTATTATTACATTATTCATATGTTGTATAACTAAAATTAAAATAATACAGTTAATTGTAATATATGTATATTTTTAAGGAAGAACATGTATAGTAAAAATTTCAAACTCAATACATCGATTCAGATTCAAATATTGACTTTTCTCATTGTTTATCTATATAGTTTTTAAAATAATCTCGAAGAGTCTAGTATCGAATGTACTACAGAACTTACGATAGTTTCAAAATAAAAAAATATCTATGTACAAAATTTTTTTCAGACGAAATGGTCGTCCTGTGGTATTCTTAATGCTTATTTTTCATGTCATTTCAAAAAGCTTATAACTTACCTGCATAAAACTAGTTCAAAGAATTTCATGTCTCACTTTGTATTTCTTTTTCATCGAATTAATTCTTGTGACTGCTTTGTAAAAGGATAATATCTGATCTTTCGTGTCTATTCTTTAAATTTCAAATAAAAAAAAAACAAAAATTCGTTAATTAATTTTAGAAAAATCTTTTCAACATTTCTTTTGTTCAACAAAATTGAATTGAATTCAAATAATAAAATATTTTCTCCTCTTTTCTTGTGTAAAATTTGACAAAAATCAATAAAAGATGAACTACTTAACAGTTATTTCTGCGAAGTTTTTAGTCAAAATTGTCAAATGAAATTCAATTTTGAAAGAAAAACA